TAATGGAATCACCTCGACATTTTCCAAACATCTCCCCGGATTCATGGCATTCTCGTGAGTCCCCTCAGTCATCGTCATACACGTGTTTAATCCTAACGCGACTCGATCGCACCTGTCTGGGGGCTTTCCAGTGGATGTAGACACGTCTGAGGTGACTTCTTCGCTCAGAGACACCGTGGCTGCAGTGGCAGGTCCGGACTCGGGGTTCGGAAGGGATGCCGCTCGTCCTCGCGGCGTCGTCGTCGTCCAAGACGCCTCGGTGCTCAGACATGGCGATGCAGAGGCACACACCGAGGCGGCATCGGTCCACCAACGTCTTCCCATACACGCGTCTGGCCCGATTCGCGTATCAAGCGCCGGCGCGTCGCAGGCTGTACCCTCTGATCAGGGCTCAAACGACTCGAACGCAGCTGCCTCGATAGGTCTTACTGCATTACCAGTGTCAGCCATACCCGGTGGTGGTGGTGGTGATGCCTCGAATGCCATCACGGACAGCGTCGCGAGCACGACCACAGAATCAAATATTCGCTCTGTGGATCCAAGTGTCAATCGTGACGTCAGCGCTCTGTCGAGCACCGCCAAGTCTCGCGAGCTCGACCTCCCATCATGGACCCCGCTCCAAATCAATGCAGACGAAAGTGAGGACGAGGACGACGAGGATGTCAGACCTCAGGAACACGATCACGAGCTGCCCACCCATCCAAGCCCCGAAATAGGTCTGATATCCACTACTACTACCCCTTCTCCACTGCAAAAGTCATCAAAGCCGAGCTCCGTACGTAGCACCAAAAGCGTTGGGGACCTTGAAAACACGGTGCTTTCAGTAACACCTGCTAGACCCTCAGAAGACATCGTGCCCGAATCCCCTGCCTCCTCATCACCAAAAGCAGTCCCTCAATCGCATGATGTAATCGATCTTATTTCACCTCCAGAAACACCTAAACGTGCCCCACGGACGTCCAAGGCGTTAACCTCGTCTGCCGCCTCTGCCTCGACTAGTACAAGGCAACAAACTCTCCCAATCCCGGAAACACCACAAGCATCCGTACCTCCTCAGACGACAAAACCTCTCTCTCTCTCGTCCAAACCACGATCCACGACACGCTCCTTCTTGGAGGGAGTAGTGATTGCAAGCAAACCCGAGTCTGAAAAGAGCCTGTATAGGAGACTTTCTGGAAATGAAGTGGGGCTTGCAGGTCACGCAGGGAAAGAAGGAAATGGTACTAAGGACTCCAACAGCACTCACGAAGTCGTTAACGCCCTCCAGCACGTTTTCTCAGCCAACCAAGCCACTAGTCTCTCACAGGAGAATGGTCCAACCAACGCGAAAAGAAGTAGGCAGTCAGATAGCATCGCAGCTGTCCTTCAACGTGCATTCCTAAAGAATAACGACGTGCGGATGAATGAGGCGCTGGAAGCCAAGGGGAGAGAGGTGACGCGTGGACGTCCTTATGGTCCGAAAAAGGCTGCAAGCGGAAGCGGGAGGAGTAGTGGGATGGCAGCACTTGCTATGGAGGCACCGAAGGCACCAATAAGCGCAGATACCTCGAAACCTTTCCAGCGTCCCCGACGCGGTCTACCCGTCACGACCTACAACTACAGTACCGTGCGTGCACCTTACTCTTTTGGAGCACCCAAAGATATACAGTATAACGCCGCGAGTAATATGATTGATGAGCTCCTTGGTACCAAAGAGAGCATCATTGACTGGGATGAATGGATTGAGGAGGATGGACACGTTTGCCGAGTGGAGAATCGAATGGGAAAAGATGGCGGTGGGCAGATAGGAACGGACATGGCTGTGGATACAAATAAAGAAGGTGGTGGATATCTGGGGAATGAGGAGACAGAGATGAACAGAGTGGATGGAGATGGAAGGGTAAAGGAAGAAATCATTAGTGGGAACGAAGAGAACATCAAGACGGAAGAGACGACTGAGGAGAATGGTGAGAGAAGGAGAGTCGAAAGACTAGAAAGAGAAACGATGGCGAACGTACGGTTCGTGTTGAGAGGGACTACAGCGCAGTTGCAAACAAAGCAGCCCAGTGCTGTTTTTGTGCCATATGGGAAGGATAGAGGGAGTCAGGGTAGTGGAGTTGAAGGGAAGAGACCATGGGGACCAGGGCTGGAAGGGCTTATGTGCGAATACAAGTCGAGGGTGGAGATGTTCCGAGAAAGACTGGAAGCGAGGTTTGGGGCAGGAAACATAGGGAGAGGGGCTGGAGGGAGACCTAAGAGGGTAAGTGCATTTTAAGCTGGGCTGATAACAATGGATTAAAGAGGCACTGTGATACAAAATGGGCTGATACACATTGTACTATTTGCAGCTACGGTACCAACAGGAGGTTATGTATGAGGAGGAGGCAAATAGAGAGGAGGTGGAGGAAGTGGGGAGTGCGAGGTCGGGCGATGACGTGGCTGGGATAGAAGGTGTGGAAGGTGAAGATGGTGATGAGGAAGTAAATGGAGATGATGAGGAGGAAGTGAATGGGGATGTGAAGGTAGACAACATAGTACTGGGGAAGAGGGAAAGGGAAGTGATTGATGTAGATGAAGTAATGGAGGAGGAACCACGGGAGACGAAGAAGACCAGGAGAGAGGGGCCGGGGGAGTGGGCTGGAGTGATCCAGAGACTGGTGAAAGGAAAGACGCGGATTGACGAGGAGGTGAGTGGAGAAAGCAGGTGAGTGTGCATGGACTAAGAGATGAACAGGGACTGGGGGTGGTGAGTGAAGTGATGGGAGAGATTGAGGGAAAGGGAGAGATGGTGAGTGAGTGGCTGGTGAGGGAGCATGTGCTGACCTGGTAGCAGACAGAGGAACTGGCTGAAGCGGTGGGCCACCTGTCGCGACTGGGAGACATTCCGTTCGGAGACACACACCGGCTGAGACGACGGGCCGCGGCTGCTGTGGGTGTGACGATCGAGTAGTTACTAGTGACTGTGATTGTGACTGTGACTGTGACTGTATGATGTTCCCACGGATATCTATGTGTTGTTTTTTTCGTTTGAGCGTTGAATGAATGTCAATTGCTCGTCATGCTCGCTCTCGGCCATCCGCAAGAAAACGACATTCCACACTCAAACTCACGTCTCCTACTCATCCACATCCACTTCTCCCGCTCCATCTCCTCCACCTCCTCCTTGGCAATGGAAGTCCTGAAACGGTCCCCTGACGTTCTTGTCTTTTTCTAGCCTTCAGTCGCAATTACCTTATGACTCCTCACTTCTATAGTATCACGAGTCTCAATGTGTCAAATTCCATATGATACTCTACACTCTACAAGATCGTACCTTAGGAGACGGATTCATCGCCAGCGAGATGGGTGAGTTGTCAATGGCGACACACTCCCCTGCTGACTTCGGTTATGATGCAGTGTCCGTGTTGCACCTGCTACCTGAATTTTTGAAG